CCTCCTTAACTCTGGTCGCAGGGCATCTGGTGCCTTCTTCCAGGCATGCATGTGGTGCACAGACATACACGCAGCAAGATACTCATACATATAAAATAATAAGATAAATATACTCTAAGCCCTTCCAGCCTATGCCCTTCACAGCCCATAGCCACTGTGAAGACGATCCTTTGGTTATCTTGAGCCGTTCATTCTCGTGGACTCTGGGATGCTGGAGGTCAGTCTCGTTTTGCTTGCCGTCTGTCGGGCTAGCAGGAATCCGTCAATGATTCTACTGAATGTTACTTCCTTTGTTGCCTTTCCCCCAGCTCCCTCTCCATTGACTGAGCATCTATCAACCTGCCACGGTTTCTTACAACAGCAAACACCATGGGGAGCCCAGAGACTCAGGCTGACATTCTTGAACACACTCTCCCTGGAGACGGCCAGCCGGCCAGCCGCAGACAGGCTGATTTCCAGCTAAAGTGGCCACCACAGCAGCCAGTTCATGGGGCAGAACCACAGTAAAGTTTCTTAAAAGCTTTCAGGGTTCTTCTCACGTGTCTCAATTCACATTTAAACCTGAAAGAATCTACGTATGCGTTTTTTTTTTTTTTTTGAAAATCGGTATTGTTTCCAGAATTTTCACACTTTTTTTATTTTATTTTTTATACTTTGTGTTTTTATCCCCTGATTGAAAGCTGGCAACATAGAAACAATCACCATTAGCTAAAGAAAAGCAACCAAGATTCTCTGAGCCCGTGTGTTCAAACAAACAGATGACCCCTTTGCAATGATGCTGAATCAGAGAGCACTCAGCCTACATGCAATTGCACCATTGAGCTGGGGTCCAACACGACTGAGGACTTCATTTCCCTTGACTTCGTGTGACCGAGACGGGACAGAAAGAGAAAAGTATGGGGAGATGAGGTGGGACCCTTACCCCAGAGTCTGGTTGGAGCCTCTCACCTTCTGAGAAGCAAGAATTCCAACACAACTGATGTTTTCTGTGAAGGTTGCTGGCAAAGAAATAATATTCCTTTGTGTTAAAATAGCAAAGACTCATGTGAAGGCTTGGATGTGTATGATGGTGGGTAGAGAGGGCCTCATTCCTTTCACCAGACCAGTTGACTTTCTTTATAGTAAAGATAGCCTACCTTCCTTAATCTCTGTGATTTTATCAGTTATAATCCTATTAAACACCCTGTGATCTCACTTGGGTTCCTCAGCAACCATTTCAAAATAATAGCTTTAAATCTTACTGAAATCCTGCATTATGACTGTTGTACAGGTAATGAAGAATAAGCTGTCCTGAAGAAGTCCTCATCTATGCTCTCAAGTGTGTCCTTCTGACCACCTCTCCCCCCTTTCTCTCTCTCTCTCTCTCTCTCTCTCTCTCTCTCTCTCTCTCTCTCTCTCTCTCTCTCCTTCTTTCTCTCTCTCTCTGTCCCCCCCCACCCCACACACACAGGGTCTCACTATGTAGCTCTGGCTGTCCTGCTGTAGATCAGGCTGGCCTCAAACTCACAGCAATCCACCTGCCCCTGCCTCCCGAGTGCTGGGACTAAAGGTTTGTGCCACCATGTCTAGCCTCTCATTTTCTCTTAATTAAAATCAATATTCAGTCTGGCCTTGGGGACATGACTTTAATCCCAGCAGTCAGGAGGCAGAGGTATACCAGCTTGATCTACATAGAGTTCCTGGCCAGCCAGGACTACACAGTGAGATCCTGTTTCAAAACAAACAAACAAACAAAACCTCAACAACAAACAAACAAAAACTGTTGTGGGGTAGCCACCAGAGAATGCTGCTCAGGCATGGGTTTAAGCCAATAGAAAATCATTATTAGCAGCCAGAGACTACACTGGGTGTTTGGGATCCTAGTATAGCACTGAGCCTTTCTCAGGGTGAGTTTTTAAGCACAAAAACATGTCCTGGGTTGACATACTTCAGTTTACAAGAACAATTAGCCAGAAGCAGAAATTACAGAAGTCAAAAAGCAAGGTTAGTGAAAAAAAAGAAATAAAAAAGGAAAGACATGACTGCTCCTAGGTATGGTGGAGGAGAAAGTTTATCGTAGATAAAAGGGAAAGCATAGCCAGAGGCAGAGATACATGGGAGGGTCCAGAGTAAACATGACCTTTTGTGGAGAAGTTTAGGGTAGGAGGCAGGGTATGCAGCCATACCCTGTAACAGGTAGGGACTGAGGGATGCTGGGAGAATCTGGCAGCCAGGGTCCACTTTGATATGTTAATAAGCACCTTAGTTAACCATCTGTCTGGGTTTGAGACCTTACAAGTACATTTAGAGAGACTTTCCCAGAACTACAGGCTTTGATGGATTAGGCCTTTGTTTTTGTTTTGGCAGGTGGTGCTATCTACATGCTGAGTTTTATAGGCTGAGTGGTATTTTTATAATGGAGTCAGTTGTGCTAAGGCCTGGGGGCCTGTTAGAAGACAAAATCTCTATAGGAAGGTGACTGTTGTGGTGCACATCTTTAGTCCTGGTGGATCTCTGATCACTGTAAGTTTGAGGCCAGCCTGGTCTAGCTAGCAAGTCAGAGCTGTATAAGTTGAGACTCTGCTCCTGGCCCCTCCCAAATGTCATGTAATATAACCCCCAACTCTCCTTCATATTGGCTAGTCCTGAAATTTTTTCTGCTTTAAAACTACGATTCTTGGTTTGGCCTGAGCTGAAGTCCCTACAAGATTAGAGGAGGATCTTAGGCTGTCATGATCCTGTGTCTGTCTCCCTAACAGATGACAGGGCTGTCAGTTCATTTTATTCTCAAGAATGATCCAATTCTCAGACACCTGGGGGTGTGTTCTGATACGTTGCTTGTGCTCCCCATAAAGCTCACTTCTTGGTGCTGGAGAGATGGCTCCGTGATTAAGAGCAGCTGCTCTTTCAGAGGACCTGAGTTCAGTTCCCCAGCACCTACATGGTGGTGGCTCACAACCATCTGTAACTCCAGTTCCAGAGGATATGACACCCTCTTCTGGTCTGTGTGGGAACTGCATTCATATGGTGCACAGACATACACAAACACCTATACACATCCACATAAACAAGTAAATAAGAGCTCTCTCCCGGAGGAAGTCAGAATCATCACACATTGCCATCTTTTCTGTGTGGGGGAGCTGTCGGGTTGTGAGTGGTCCTCACTGGAGACCCTGGGTTCATTGCAGGACCATACTCAGTAACCAGGTTTGAGTGCTTGGTCTGAATCTGAGCTGTTGCTAGGAAGCTCTCTCCCGGTGTCCTAAGGACCTCCCTGACACTTGAAATAGGCCAGCTCTATCCCACTCCGTCCTCACCCCTCACCTCCCGCCCCCCCCAATGGGAAAGCTAGCTCTGGGACAGCTGCAAGTCTTTACAGCTACTCTGGGGAGATATCCCCTGTCCTCCCCGAGGCGGCTTCCTTTTCTGAAACAGAGATTCAGGAATTTCAAGCTGGCCTCAGTCTCACTGAGGTGCTGCTGCCCACCATGCCCGGGTGTCAGAGGTTGAGCCCAGGGCCTCGTGCATGTCAGACAAGCACTCTACCAACCCACTCTCTTCTCTACAGAAAGGAAAATCGCCCACGAGAAACGAGTTCTACTTCTCATTTACTATTTCTACTAATTCTGTGGCAATGGTGTTCTGGCGAGGTTCAGAAAAGGCGGTTTCCTGTGGGGAGAGTGGAGGAGCCTGCTTCAGCGGGTCGCTTTCCCCCACTCACCCTTCGACCTCCACTAGGTTTCAGTCTTCCTTTGCCCACGCGTTTCTGGTTGTGTCTGACCAATGGCAGGCATTTCCAGGAGAGTGCCCTGAGACAGGGAAGGAGGAGGGAGGCCAGGGTACTCTTCTTATCTGCCTGGCCAGGGTGGCTCCAGCAGCTGCTGCTGCCTGATTGAATGTAAGACCTGTTTCCCGGCTGCTCCCCAGAACTCTGGCTCCCTTCGTTCCCTCCCGCTTAAGTTTGGAGGTGGTTTGAATTTCCCACTTGATGATCCTTGTCTTGACTCCCTAAACTCTGCCTACACCTCTGCAAAACATTTCTTCACTTAAGAGACTTTCAGTTAACATCTCTGTGTCTTAGGAACGACCTTGACCATGCAGTCGTGCCGAATTCTACTGCCTCTAACTGGAGAAGTTAGGGCCTTTCCTGTTAAAAGCAGCCACCCACCTAGGAGAAATCCAGGACATGAGTCATGGCTTAGTAACCCTATTCCTACCCAGATTTCTCCGAGGACCCCTAGGAAGCCCTGTCCCTGGCTGCAAGTCTCCGGCCTGAGCTGCCCTCTCCTCCTCCGCCTCACCACCACCTGCTGAGCAGCTGCTACCTGCGGGATCCGGATCACCTTGCCGGACCGCTGTTTTGTTTTGTTTTGTTTTTCTAATGTGCTTAACTGAAGGAAGTTCGTGCACATGACTTATTTTTTTCTCTTTTCAGGAAGGGTGGGTACACTGTGTCCTGCGGTGAGAAGCTTGCGAAGGAGGAAAGCACCTCCTCACCCTACATCGCTACTGTTCCAATCTGAGAGCTGCCCCTCACCTCCCACAAGAGGCATGGAACATTTCTGTGGGACTACACCAACACCACACTAGCAGTTGGCCATAAAAAGCCCCGAGTGCGTTATATACCTGAGACTTTCCCGAAGGTTGCAGAGAAATTATTTAGTACAGTGTGTTTAGATATAAATCACGAGACATGCGAATTCTTGGGAAACATGTCTTATGTAGAGGAGGAGATCTGGGAGTACTCCGGGTGGGAAGTCTTTTGAACTAAAAGACACCTTAAGAGGAAATTGCTATGGAAACTAGCCCGCCGCTGTGCATTTCTCCGAGCGCCGGGAGTCTATGGCATAAGGCAGTGGAGTGGGGGGCCTGGGTACCGCAGTGTTGGGGGGCAGCTTAGGAGGGTAGAGAGCTCGAAGACGGTCGCGCAAGCCCGAGGCACTGCAGAAGGCAGGAGGCGGGGTCGGGGGTGGTCCTCGGCAAAGTGGCCTCCGGGCCACACGTGCAGCAGCCTCGGAGGGCGGTGACCTGGGCGCGTCTGGACACCCGCGCTCCGCAGAGGGGGGAGCGTGTGTGGCCCTGGCGGGCGCCCCGCCAGACGAACGGTGGCTGCGGCCGGCGAGCGCGCGCCCGGCGGTGCGTGCGTGTGTGTGTGTGTGTGTGTGTGTGTGTGACAAGCGTCAGGTGACTCGGGTCACGCCGTCGCTCCCTCGCGCTCCCGGGGAGAACTGCCGCGCTCCGGCTGGCTCCTCCGGCAGCGGCGGCGGGGAAGCGGGGGCTGGGCGCCGCGGCCGCCCCCAGCGCAACCAGGCCCGGGGCCCGGGGGAGGTGCGGGCGGTTCGGCCCACACGGGGACCCCTGGAGCCGAGCGTGGGCGTGATGAGCCAGGTGCTGGGCAAGCCGCAGCCGCAGGGTGAGGACGGCGGCGACGACGAGGAGGAGGATGAGCTGGTGGGGCTGGCGGGCTACGAGGACGGGCCCGGGTCCTCGGACGCCGAGCTGGACAGCGGGCCGGAGGAGGGAGGTGAGTCGGCCGACCGTGCGCTCGCCGATCCCGGGGCTCTGGGCGGAGGAGCGATGCGGGGCGCGCGCGCGCGCGCGGGGGATCCGGGGCGCCGGTGGTGGGGGAGGGGCGAGGCCGGGCTGCAGCCGGCGGCGGCGGGAGGGCGGCGGGGAGCGGGGTCGGATGTCGAGCTAAAAGAGGCAGCTGGCGGCCGGGTGCCTGCTGGGTCGCCCACAGCTGCGCGTGTCATTCTTCCCTGCAGTGGCCGCGAGAGGGTCTGCGGCGTGGGACCAGGGCGCTGGGGCGGGGCCCGCGCTGCAGGTGGTACCCGCGCAGCCCGGGTGACTTCGGGGTTCCCGGTCTTAAGACACTTTTGAATGCATCTCATGTCATCACCCGAGATGGGCGCGGGTGGCGAGCGATCTTTGGCTGCGGGAGCCAACTGTGTTCTTGCAGAAGGAGCCGAGTTAAGCCTTTCAGATGGGGGCTGCCTGCGTTTCATTCCTGAGACACAAAGAAGTTGAGTTTGGGATTCCCGATTGTTTTTCTTCTCTTAACGCCCAGCCCGACCCCTCCCCCCCAAGGGCGGAAGGTCACTTGAAAAGGTCAATTGAATGAGTCTGTTTAACATTCTCCGTGTAGCTTGTAAACATCTCAGAAAAAGGACTAATCTCTTTAATGTCGCACACTGGAGAAACAGGAATAAAAGTACTCGTGACAGGAGTTTTAAGAACTTTTATTGAAAATCCACTGAACTGAACTTTAAAATTCTCTCTACAAAAGCCTTTCTCGGAAGACAGTTTTGATTTTGCATCTGGCAGGTACTACTCCAGTGAATTAGAAAGGGAATAAAGTTAACTAAGCCTTGAGCCCGGCAGATGAGGAACAGCTTTCCAAGCCACCCCCTTTCCTGACTGCTTTTCTCTAGAGGTACTAGTTCTCCGTTGTTTAAATTGGTGTGTGTACCTGTGCGCCTCCCTCTTCGGGCCCTTTAATTGGTCCCACAGTGGCTCACTCAGTCACTTTTTTTTTAATTAAATTGTTCAGTCACTTTATTATTATTTAAATAGCATTCGTTAGGATCCAGAGAAAAGCTGAATGGGGATGTATTTGCAAGGTATTTGAAAAGGTAGGTGCACAATAGGGAGCTTGTGTGGCAGGTTACCGAGAGAAAGAAGACCCTATTCCAGAGGAAAAGCCAGTAATTTGATACTGTCCTGGGGGCCAGAGTTTGCCGGGAGGGCACGGACCCTGTTCTCTTTGTTGTTGTTGTTGTTTTGTTTTTCTCCCTGCAGTCTTTATTGGGTTGCTTGGGAGCACTTTTGAAATTTGATTTTTCAAAATTTGAAGTGAAAGTAAAGCCCTGCCTGAGGGGAAGAATTCCTGAAACAAAAGGTTTTTCCAGAGCCCGGAATGGGAGGGCCCCCGTGCTGTTACTCTGAAGGCAACCCTGCCTGCAGCTTTGTTTAGATGACTTCAGTAATAAGCCCCCCCCACTGGGAATTCCCGGGTCAGGCAGGCGGGATCCTGGAATCTTGCTATAAAAGGATACAGTACATTCACGTGGCGAGAAGCATGCATGTTAATTTCTGCTCCTGCAGACATTGCAGAAGCCTTGCTTTTCTCCGCTTTCTGTTTCACGCAGGTGGTCTGCTACCTTTTCCTATCCTTTATCTGTTGAACTTTCCCTTGTCCTTTGGCCTCTGTTCTTTAGTAGCTTCAGGCTGGAGGTTTAGGCCTTGGAGCACAATTATTAGAAAATCTGCCTTCCTCGGCCAGCAAGCACTTCCTGCAAGGGGCTGCCAACTGATTCCATCCCAGGGAGCTGGGACTGGGAGAGGGGAAGCCAAGAATTTAGACGGCCTGCTCCATGCCCTTCTGAAGGCTGTCTGGTTTTGTTTTGTTCTAAGGTGTGTGTGTGTGTGTGTGTGTGTGTGATGCAGGTGCCCAGAGGATGGTATCAGATCTGGAGCTGGAGTTACAGGACGTTGTGAGCCACCCAGCGTAGGTACTCAGAGCGACACGTGCTTTAACTGGTGAACCCTCCATTTCTGTAGCACATATTCCCATTTAGATTTTGGTAAAGGATGCATGTGTCTATTCTCAAACTTAAGAGAGAGTGAAAGTCAGGGTCTTCTTTAATCTGAGAAAAGATGGACGGTATGAACAACGCACTGATGAACTTTCTCCCGTCCCTCTGCCTAACAGATAAAGTGCCTGCATTTTTTAGTCGAAGTCTGGGAGTTTTCCCCAGTAGGAGCAGGACTCTCTCTGGTCCTGGTGGCCTGGTGGTGGGATGTTGGATTGACAGCATTGCTAGTTGAGACAGTTTGTCAGGAGCTGTCAGGAGAATGTAGACTGGAGATGGAAAGGTCCCACTGCCCCGTATGGAGCCCCTGATCTCATTTTAACCTGAGTACCCTACGAGTTTTACCACGTGTGCTGAGCTTGAGAATGTAGTGCAGCCAGGCTGAGACTTCTGTGCCTGTCTCCTTTGGCTTCCGCTCCATATCTTATTCATGAACAGCAGGAGTGTTTTCAAGCAGCTTAGTTCTGTTGAGGACCCCCTGAGGCACTACTTAACCCTTTGTTCTTTGTTGTTAATCGCAGTAAGGCAAGTCTCATCTTCAAATGCTGCCCCAAATCAAACTCCAGAGACGGACAAGAATTAAACCATTAAATACAATTCAACAGGGGCTAGAGAGACGGCCGAGTGGGTAAAGTGCTTGTTAGACAGGCCTGGGGACCTGAGTTCAGATTCCAGCATCCACTTAAGGGGGTGGGTGTGTGGTATGTGCCTGTAATCTCAGCCCTGGAGAGGGAAGACGAGAGACCCCTGCAGCTTACAATCAGCCTAGGCAAGGAGTCAAGTACCAAACTCAGACAGGGATCCTTCCGCAAAATAAGGTGGGTAATGAGGAAGTCCCCCTGGCATCCACATAAAGCACCAACACACACACACACACACACACACACACACACACACACACACACACACACATTATCGTACCCCCCCCAAACCAATTACCGTAGATTTAGAGGTGTCCTGGCCCCTGGTTTTGATCCTCAGCACCCCACATAAACCCATAATTGTGTCATAAATAATGATTAATTTTGTCACCCAGACTTTGAATTTGCTAAAGTAAATTACTGTGCTTTAAAATCTGACAAGGAACGAGACTAAAAGATATCCCTATTGTTACCTGCTCTTCCAGCATTTAATGAGACTGTAAAAGGTTTTCCCTAAAGTCCTCAGTTTTCAGGGGAAACTTGGTGAAGACAGCTGCTCACCCCAGTCTGCTTGAGTCTGGTCTGTGTTTTCACAGTGGCCTGTGCCCATTGGAGTCGGAGGAAGTGACAGTTTGGATTGTTACTGGAGTCACAGTAGGGTGAGCTGGTGATACTCCCTGATGGATATACAGGTGCTGAATGCAGTAAGTCCCACCTACCAGCCGTTAATAAGCTGGGTGTGGTGGTATAAGTCTGTAATCTCAGCACTCCAAAGACAGGGCACAGGATCACCAGTTCAAGGTCTGAACTGCACCTGATGCTGTACTTTTATTAGCCACCTCTCCTATTTTATTATTAGGACAGACGTGGGGTAGTGTAAAGGAAAGCATAAGGAAGTGTAAGCAAGTTCTAGATAAGTGATGGGCTCTGAGTTTGAAAGAGCGTCTTGTCTTTCCAAGCTTTCTGTCCCAGGTGTCACCACTTTATTTTAGATTATCATCCCCAACCCCACAGCAGTGCAGCTCAGTTCTGCTTCCTAAGTCACATCTTTCTTGTTCCTACCTCCTTTATTCTTTAGTATCTTGTCCTCATAAAAAGTGGGCCCTAGTGCTCACATATCAATCCTGCCCGCCCTCAAGCATCAGTCCCTGCCTGCCTTCTTCCTTATTGAGGCAGTATGACTTGTTAGTGCTGGACCCTGGGGCCTCCAGGGATCCCAGTGTCTCAGACTCCCATCTCACAGTAGTTCACTGGGATACAAATGCACAGTGTTGTATTGGGCTGTAAGTACATTGTGGGGATCCAGACTCGAGGCCCCAGACCCATACCACTTTAAAAATTAAAATAATAAAAATTCTGTCTCCACTGTCGAACCTTGTAAAGTTCTTTGGTGACGGTGGCTCTCCCTAGTTTTGCTGTGACTCAGATAGGCTCTTCAGCTCCTCTGTTAATGTGTCTGAGAAGCCATTGATTCTCTTCTTATAGCTCTCTGAGAAGGATTGTCACTTGTTTCTCAGTGTGTAAAAGAGGTTTATGTAAAAGCAGCCTCGAGTTTATCTCAAACAATTTAAAAAATAAAAAAGTTCCTGCCGGGCAGTGGTGGCGCACACCTTTAATCCCAGCACTCGGGAGGCAGAGCCAGGCGGATCTCTGTGAGTTCGAGGCCAGCCTGGACTACCAAGTGAGTTCCAGGAGAGGCGCAAAGCTACACAGAGAAACCCTGTCTCCAAAAACCAAAAAAAAAAAAAAAAGTTCCTAAGAACACTTCCTCCTTTAGGAAGTACTGGTAAATCACAACACATTAGAGACAAAACTGAATATATATTGAATATTTATGTATTCAGTCATGCTTTTTAGTTCCCCACTAGTATGATTTCAGAGAATTTTATAAAAGATTTTGTTTCTACATGTAACTTTTTTATCTTATGTTCTTGGAATAGGGTCTCACTATGTAGTTCTAGTTGACCTGGAACTTGCTAGGTAGGATAATCTGTGCTCAGATTTAAGAGATCACCCTCAAAGGACTCACTGTCATGAGCCAGAGTTTATGCAGAGAGCATCCCTGTTGCCCAGGGAGAACCCCTGACCAGTGGTGTTTAGGAATATTTAACTACGCCAAAAGGTGTTGTATTTGTTTAACTATGTAAAGATGTGTTGCTGTTTTACCTTGCCTGCCTAAGGCACCTGATTGGTTTAGCAAAATGCTGAACAGCCAATACTGAGGGAGGAGGCATAGGTGGAGCTTCCAGACAGAGAAAGGGGCAGAGAGAGTAAGTAGGAGGAATTTAGGC